GGAATTAAGACTTATTCTATGCATCTGCTTTCCCACAATATGGCGCTGAGAAGGGAAACAGCTTCTACACAGCTGCCTCCAGTTCAACCAATAAACTGTGGGACCTGCTCCTGATTGGAGGAGAGCAGCGTACTCGGCGTGTGGGTAGCAGAGTTGGGATTGGTGGAAGAGGACTATAAAGGAGGAGAGAGACGGCATGCACCAGGAACATCTAAGGGGAACACCTGAGCAGCCCCCGAGAGAGCCGGCCGGCGGTGTGCCGCTCCCCCGCGGAAGTGGGGAATGTGGCAGGGGGAACCGCCCTTCCACGGAGGTGGAAGGGTCAGTAGCCAACCCGGGAAGAACCAGCAGCAAACCCGGGGAGGGCCGAGCAGACGAAAGAACAGCGCAGGGTCCTGTGTCGTTCCTCCACGAAGACGGGGAGCGACAGGCAACACCTTAGTTCTATATTTGCATGCTTAGGTACAGTGAGTTAGTGACTACAGATTTGGAAAACTTACCACCTTACTATGGATACAAAAGAGTAGCATGTGTCTCCTAGGGCTGGAGCCATTTCATTTTTCTTAAAAAGTGATTCTTTTGAATGGAAGCGTTGTCTAGGTAGGTACTGCAGCTTCCATGAAGGACACAAATACCAGGCTTTCTGGTGTTGAATAGTGTAAACCCATGTATCAGGCTGGGCATCACATGGGCCAGTCTTCCATTTGTGGATCTTCTCTTCACGGAAAGCTGTTCACCGAAAGGCTTTCCTTAGCAGTACTCATTAGCCTTTCAAGTAAATTTCAATTAGAAATTTGCTCCAGCACAGCTTATTAGAGCTTTAATGGGTGTTAAGTATATTCTTCATGTCCTCTGAATTAAGAGCTAAGGAATAACTTTACACACATAAGCGGACCCGACACCAATGTTTGGTTCTTAGAAAGTGAATACCCACATTAACTTAGATAGAGCAGAAAGTCAGAAACTCACACAAGGTGGAAAGCAAATGGTCTGCTCCAGTACTTGTAGAGGAGCAGTAGGTTACATCTCTTGATAAAGTACAACGAAATTTCTTTTTTTCAAGCCATGTGCTTAAGTTTGACCAGAAATTTTATGTTAGAGAATAATAATTACACAATGAAATATTTGTCTTAATATACATTACTGAGTATATGAAAGGTCTCCCTTCCATGGGAATGTTAATTTTTTGAAGATTTTATTTATTTATTTGAGAGGCAGAGTAACAGAGAGAGGGGGAGACAGAGGAAGGTTTTTGATCCTCTGGTTCACTCCCCAAACAGCTGCAACAGCTGGAGCTGGGCTGTCTAAAGCCAGGAACCAAGAACTTCTTCTAAGTCTCCCACATGGATGCAGGGGCCCAAACCTTTAGGCTATCCTTTGCTGTTTTCCCAGGCCAAGGCAGAGAGCTGGAATGGAAGAGGAGCAGCCAGGACTTGAACCAGGGTCCAAATGGGATGCCAGCACTGCAGGCAAAGGTTTAGCCCACTACACCACAGTGCCAGCCCCAGGCATGTGTATTAATGAAAAAACCTATGCAGAGATTTCAAAATTTTTTGCACCAAAGTAAACTGATCTTTTGATCCTATTTCCTATGAACTTTTTGAAGTATTCACATATGTTCCATCAAATAGGGTCAAATGCAGGTTAGTTGGCTTATTAAATTAATAGAAAGGGAGGATGAGCATTTGATGCATCAGTTTAGACCCTTCCTGGTATGCCCACATCCCATCTCAGAGTGTCTGGAATCATGTGTCAGCTCCACCTCTGATTCCAGCTCTCTGCTGATACATACCCTGGGAGGCAGCTGGTGATGGCTCAAGTATTTGTGTCTCTACCTGGATTGAGCAAGACCTGGATTGAGCTCCCTGTTCTGACTTTGGCCTGGTCCAACCCCAGCTCTTACAGGCATTTGAGGGAAGGGTGAACCAGTGGATGGAAGAGTACGTTCTCTCTGAGTGTCTCCATCTCTCTCACTTCTCCCTCTCGCCCTTTCTCTCTCTGTCTGCCTTTCCAACAAACTTTCTAAACATTTAATCCCCAGAGAGGGGTAAAATGTCATTTCTAGCTTCTCTTTCTAGTTTCTAACTACCAAGAGAAGCTTCTCTTGGCAGTTAGAATAAATCATGCTTTTTGATGTCTTCATGAATTAACTGTAATATTTATATACGTGCTATAGCAACATTCACTTAGCTCACTTTACAGCTCTTCTTCCTAGGCACAGACTGTATCCTAACTGTGAAGCTCGAATAGTAACACATTAATAAGACTTTTTAAGAATAGCAGTGTATCTCTAATCATGGGTCCCAATAACAAACAAGAATCAGAGCACCTGTGCTGATTATGCCTTACGTGTGGTAAATGCTGAAAAAAAAGTTTCATTCATGGGAGAAACTCACTGAGCATTTTCTCTGTGTGGTTTTAGAAGAGCTCAAAGCAAGGAGTCCAAATCTATAAGACCCATTCACCTGCATGTGCAGTTTGGGCTCTGCTTCTTGGAATTCTGCAAGCCTTACCAGATGCTAATTAATTGAAAACTATTTTCAGTTTGAGAATTTTGCCTGAGTAAATAGGAGTTAATTTCCAAATTTTAAACTTTTAATTCCATTTTATGACAAGTCTTCAAAAGGGCTTATCTTGAAAAATATAATACCTATATTATGTCGAGTTAATTTTTCTTTCTTGTTTATGGAAGGTAAGAACAGAAAAATGAATTTTTAGCTATTTATACAATTTATTGCTGTAACTTCAGTGTTTACTCTTAGCACTTGTAGTCACATTTATTAGGTATTGATTATAAAATGGTGTATACAGCATACACCATGAAATGGGTGAGTTGCTGTTTTGGTTCAGTTGAAAATATTCAGAGATTTATTTATGGGGATTTCAAATGTCACAGATTAAATAGTAATTCATAGTAAACCCTTAAAGAAGACATTAAGAAAAATATATACTACATGGAGGAGAAAAAAACTAGCAGAAGGACCAGAAAGCAGTCAATGTATCACATAGGCTATATTCACAGTGGGTTTTATGTACTACCTTCCTCTGAAGTAGAAACATGTTAGAATTGAATGATCTAGTTAAATTTTTAGTTCAACCAGTACAATAACAAGCTAAACACTAGAAATACATCACTGTATAAAGCCATATGAATTCTAATATTCTGTAACCCTAAAATAAATTTTGAAGATGATTGTTTTTATAGATCACACATTTCCTTTAATATTTTTTCTAAAATTGGTATCTATACACTAATAATTGAGCAGTTCATCTTAAGTGGGAGAAGAAAACCACCCAAACCAAGCCATCACATCTGTCTGACCTTGTTTTATTAACATCAGTGCAACCACCTAATTCTTAGCTTTCTGTTTCTTTCACTTGTGAATGATGAAAGTAGTTTTGTCCTCTTTATAGCTACAGGATCCTCAATTTTCTGAAAAGAGGCCTGGGATTCCAAGATTGCTTAAAAAAAAAAAAAAAAAAAGAAGGGCCGTGTTCATAGTATGTGAAGATGTGTAAGAGGCAAGAGCTAGAGAAAAACTTGGATTATATTCCCTACCAAGCTTATGAAAGCAAAGACCTTCAAACAGCCATGGAAGGCAACCCCTACCATTACAATCAATACTGGCACACAACGGGGCTTAAAAGGGACTGGGGATAGGGAAGTGGAGTGGATGTGTGGTTCAGCATTTCACTACTTGAGATGCCCACCACCCATAATGGAATGTCTAGTTCAGCTCCTGGCTCCTCCATTTTTAGGTCCAGCTTCCAGCAAATGCTCACCCTGGGAGGCAACAGACAATGGCTCAAATACTTGTATCCCACTACCCACAAGGCAGACCCAGATTGAGGAGCCAGCTCCTGGCTTTGGCCTGGCCCTGCCCTGTCTGTTGAGCATTCGGGTTATGAATTAGTGGGTAGAAGACTTCTCTCTTTCCATCTTTCTGTCTCTCTCTCTGCCTTTCAGATAAAATGAAAATAAATAAATAAAAAGGAGAAGAGGAGACCATTCTACCACGTTGGTCCAACTAATGAACTGTCCTCAGGGTTTCAGTCTTGGGGGTTATTTTACTCATGTTAATTTCACTGTATGCGTATGTAATGTTTTGTTGTGAAAAATCTCAGTGTCAACCCAGCTTTTCCTGTTTGTTTATTTCAGGTTTGTGTATTCATGCAGTATATAAGCATTTGCCTCTCTCTGGGTTGCTCCCAGCCTTCCATTCAGTCCTAACCGGACTCATAGAGCGTTTTTCTTCTGCACCCTTAAAATTATACTTGGTTGCCTCAGTGCTGTCAACAGCATTTTACTTCTGGCTCTTCACCTTGTTTCCACATTACTTCATTCTGCACGAATCTGTGTTCTCAGAACATAGCTAAGCTTAGTACGCTACTTCTTCAGAAACCATGGAAGTGCTGCAGGCGAGTCCTTAAAGGGCAGATGGGGCTGTGAGCTGAGGGACCAGGTGATGCCCTGATGCTTGGACTTCCCAGGGCACGACTAGAATGTGTTTTACTAGTCCAGAATTAAAACTATTTCTCCCTAGTCCATGGACACGTGGAAAGACCAAAAAAAAAAAAAAAAAAAAAATTGGGTCAAGAGTTGACCTCAGTACTCAGAGAACCACGGGCCTGGGAATGGGTCTCCTCAAGAGGGTGGACTTGGCCTAGGAACACTTTGTTATAGAAAAATCTGTCCTGCTAAGGCTGCAGAACACCTTCATTCCTGTGGCCTGAACACTAAAGACTGCTCAAGACGAGGTTAACCGTGTCGTTTTTAGAGCCACTGGAATGGTGAAAGACTCCTCTTAAATCTCTTTGACAAGAACCAGTTAGGTCCTGTATAAATGTTGCCATTTAGGCAGTATTTGTTTTAACTGACATTGTCATGGTTTACTCTGCTTTTTTTTTGTGTTGAACTAACTTGTCGCCACACTTTAAAGCAGCTTTGTTTTAAAAGTGAAAATGTGATAGACAGTGTCGGTTAAACGTTGGTGTTGCAGAGCCTGTGAAGCCGCCTGGCATCTCCCTACAAGCACCAGCTGATTTGCCTTTAGCTATAAACACGGCACCACCGTCCTCCCAGGTGGATTCGTCTGCTGCTCTACCTCCTTCCTATCAGCTGATCAGCCTTCCACCACCCCCGGAAACTCTTGGCATCCAGGAGGATCCCCAAGACTACCTCTTGCTAATCAACTGTCAAAGCAAGAAGCCTGAACCCACCAGGTAAATTGTGTGTGCTGTGCTTGTGTGCACCTCCCTTTAAGCCTGTTAACCCTCGACGTGAAGGTTTTGATGACCCATTGGTACAGGTGTACGTTTCAGGTGTGTAAGAGGGTTATGTTGCTGTACTAATGAGCCCTGATACTCAGATTTTTGCTGAAGAAACCCAGTGCTTGCCATTCTGGCAAAGAGAACAGTAGTGCCTGCAAGGCTGTCCTGGAAATCTGTCTACTCCGCCATAGTCTGTTACAGACTCACAGCATTACTTGCTTAACAGATGTCACTGACTTATAAATGGTGATCTTGCTCCATTTCTTATGTGATTGTAAACCAGCCAAGGGTCATCTTTTGTTTCTGAAGAAGGAGAGGAGTACCTACTACTAGAAGACTTTGAGAGCAAAACGATTCCATTGCAGTGAGTGTGTTGTGATTGTTTTGGATCAGTGTGAGAAATTAATCATACAGGTAAAATCCCAATATAGCAAATTCTATGGAATATACAAATGGGGTGTTAGTGAAATTTTTTAAATCAAATACATTGCTTAAAACTGTGGTGAGGCAGAGCTGGCCTCCAACTTGACTCTGCCAGTCTTTAAGTTGAAGCAAGTGTGTGGATTTAAGTGCTTGACCGGAGGGGCCATAAAGCCTTGCCCAAACCCATGGGTTCGCTGGTTTTTTCCCCCTCCCTGCCCCCACACCCCTCTCCTCTTCTAAGCTAAAGGTGTTTTAATTTGGTCATCTGTGCCATTTGATGTTAAGTATTTGGAAGGCTGAGATTGACAGGCAATCAGAGGGCAGGTGTTTTTGGTTTTGTTTTGTTCTTGTCCATTTTTTGCCTCCCTGTTTTTTTCTTTTTAAACTATTTAACAAAAAAAAAAAGCCGGAGGTGAGCATTTGGTACAATAGTTAAGACTCTTCTTGGGATGTCCAGCATCCCAATCAGACTGCCTGGTTGAAATCTTGCCTCCACTTCTGATTCAGACTTCTGCTGTACATCCTGGAAGGCAGCAGTAACATCCTTGCCACTTACATGCAACACCTAGATAGAGTTCTTGGCTCTTGGCTTCAGCCTGGCCCAGTCTCTGCTGTTGTGGGCATTTATGGAATGGCCAGCAGATAAGAGGGCTCTGTCTCTCTCTCAGCCTTTCACATAAAAAAAAAGTAAATAAATACTTTAAGAAACAACAGGAAAACAATATTCAACAGACCAACCTGTGCTTTTAATAGTTACATGACACTTAGTGATGCCATCAATTGGGTATATTTATTTATAGCTAAAAAGTGGGGTTAAGCTGTGGAATAGTAGATATGTTTTTAAGACAGGGTCACTAGATATTAAGCATTGCTACTTTTTTGTAAAAGGCAATTTTTTTAATGTAAAAAGTGATTACTGCTAGTGTAGGATCAGACTTTTTAAAAAATGTTTCTGTAGAAATTGTTATTATCCACAAAATGGTTTCTGTGAACCCTTCTGTGAGATCATGGATGGAAACTCCTTAGAAAAGTGCCAAAAGTGGAATTCTGTACATTTGTTGTAATGGGATTTTACTTTTAAGACCAAAAGAGATTTTGTTTTATAAATCAATGCTAGTTAATACTATCAAATTCTAACTTGATTGTGCTTGTTTGCTGTGAGGATTTCAAATTACCCACTTGCAATTTTGTTACCTGTGCTACTAACTGAATTTTTATTTGACGGAGATTCACAGTTATTTTTCAGTATCAACTTTAACACGCCAACAGCTGAGTGACAGTTTTCAGTGCATGTTCTTTTATACGGTGTCTGTCTTTGACTTCACCAGGATCACAGCTTTCCTGGTGCAGCAGAAATTCTGTTCAAAATCATCACCTAAATATAGTTTGCAAAAGTGACAGGTAAATAACAAATATTTATGAGGCACTCACTGTGTGCCCGCTATTATGCTTGGCACAATGAAGGTACAAGATAATTCCGTAAGATACCCTCTAGATACGGGTGCCTTTGAAGATTATGAATAGGCTGTGCAGAAGTTGCAACATGCAAACAGTCAGTGTTTGTAGAGGAAGGCAGTACATGGGAGTTACCTTACAAACTACTCATCCTATGAGACTCAATTCAGACCTGTACTTTCTGGGATGCATTCCCACAAACTCCCAAGTTGGAATAAATGTCACAGTAGATCTTTATGGCACCCTAATTGCCCCACCCTATCTCTGTTTTATCACAGTATTAGAAACAGTTGGCTATTTTTACTAATTCTCCGCTAAGCTAGTCAGAGCGAGGAGCTTTAGTTATTACTCACTGTGCCTCTAGCTTCTCTCAGCTCCTGCATTTGAAGAAAACTAAGTGCAAATTTTGGAATATGTGTAGGTGCATGAGAAATGCCACAAAGAGTCAGTACTCCTGCTTTTAAAGAGGGAGAAACAAGCTTCACCAGAAGAGAAGGATTTAATTACACGTACACCTGCTGACGCGGGAAGGCTATCCTTAGTAATTTGAAGGAAAGGAGAGGCAGGAATGAGCATGGTGGGAGGAAGATGATAAGGAGGGCCCGTGTGGAGGCCAGGGCTCCAATGTGGGGGAGGGATACAGCGTATGGCAGCCAGGTGAAATAGAGCCAGGTTATTAGTGGTCTCCATGCCAAGTGTAGTAATTTTGGCCTTACAGTTCCTGCAGCCTGTAGGTGAGTGATCTGAAGCCTGCATTTTGCAAACATTAGTCTTAGAGACATAGAGTAAGGTGGTCCCATGGAGAGACTGCAAGAGAGAGAAGCTAGAGGAGAGTTGGGTTAGGAGGGCTCGGAAATGTGGCTCTCGGCGGTCACAGGCCTGAAGTCAGGCAGTGGCAGTGAAAACCGGCAGAGGGGTGGCTGTGCTGGCAGAAGGAGGGACTCTGTGCCTGAGTGACAGTGGGGGTCAGAGAGAAGAAATTGAGCTAATTGGCTTGTGAGCCTGGAGAATCGGGATAAATTAGGATGATGCTAGTCAGGAAAAACAACCGATTTGAGAAGTAACTGAATTTAGCTTGGGACAGATGAGCAAATACTGGCATAAACAGAATTGCCAGTTTGGAAATACAGGACACCAAATTTGGTGAGAAGATGGGAGCTGTTGGTGTTCAAAGAAGGTGAGATGACGGACTAGGAGGATTCCCTAGGGGCACATTTAGGACAGCATTAGGGGATTGAAGGCTGAGGGCCATTCCCAGGTGGAGAGACAGAAGGAGTCAGGAAACAAGAGCAGCCTCGTGCAGTGGAGGATGGCCCAGGTCCTTGGGCCCTGCACCCCATGGGAGACCAGGATAAGCACCTGGCTCCCGCCATCGGATCAGCGGCAGCCATTGGAGGGTGAACCAACGGCAAAGGAAGACCCTTCTCTCTGTCTCTCACTGTCCACTCTGCCTGTCAAGGAAAAAAAAAAAAAACAGCCTCAGGGAGGGAGAAGGGAAATCCAGGTGGCACAGCAGGGGCCTCTCAGCCTAGTGGGGAGGGGCTTCAAGGAGCAGGTGATGATACACAGGGCCAGGTGAAGCTAGGAGGTCAGGGAAGTTGACTATCCCAAGTTACTTAGAAAATATTGTGTAAGGTCCTACAGAACTTGGGACAACATGCACGAGCAGTTTGGGTATCTTGTCTAGCATTAAGAACGTGAGCGAGTGTGCTTGCATTTTGTATTGTTAGCTTCCTCTTGGCTTACTCTGAAGGTGACACCTCCAAGTGCAGAGACTGCAAATGTGGCCGAAGCCTAAAATATCCTCTCATGGGATCTCTTAAGGTTGATTGTTGTTTGAGGGTGGTTAACCCTGTGATCCTGGTTCCAGTGTTGGCTAAACAACTGATAGAAATAGTAGTAACAGGGAGGAAACGTGACACCTGTGCAGTTACCCCCTGACTGTAGCGTTGAATTTATATATGTGTTGAATTTATTCGATACAGGTAATCATTAGACTTCTAGTTTCACAGGACAACAAATTTGCCACTGGCAGGTTAAAGAGCAACGGATCAGCTTTATAAGTTGCACTGGTCTTTGCATGTTCTCCAGAGGAAATGCTTTTCCTTGTCTATGCCTGAATCATTTACCTTCCCCAGAGTTCTGTAGTGCCTAATTGCAGTGCTTAAGGGATTGTGGTTTTATGCGTAGATTTCATAGAGGGAGGAGCTGGGGGGTGTGGACAGGAATTAAGGAGAATGCTTTTGGCGGGTTTGTGGTGGTGGTTCTGTTGTCTGGTATATAATCATAAAAAGCTAAAGATATTTGTGCTTTAAATCTTACCACACACACCAAAAAAAAAAAAAAATCTAATGAGAAAAGCCATCTATTTGATTGCTAAGCTGTGTACATGTTTGTCAAGGCTGTATAATTGTCCTCACCGCATTTTCTTGTTTATTGACGATTTTTACGTAGAACACATGCGGATTCTACAAAATCCACCTCTTCTGAAACAGACTGCAATGATAACGTCCCTTCTCACAAAAATCCCGCCTCCTCCCAGAGCAAACACGGAATGAATGGTTTTTTCCAGCAGCAGATGCTGTATGACTCCCCGCCGTCGCGGGCTGCGTCGCTGTCCGTGGACCCCAGCCTTTACAACCTGCCCAGGAGCTACTCCCACGATGTTCTACCAAAGACATCTCCCTCGAGTACCGAAGCAGATGGGGAACTCTATGTTTTCAATACCCCGACCGGCATATCGAGCTTAGAGACTCAACTGAGGCATGCCTCCATCAGTTACGACATTCCGCCAACACCTGGTAATACTTACCAGATCCCACGAACATTTCCTGACGGGACCTTGGGACAGACGTCAAAGCTAGACTCTATTCCAGATATTCCCCCGCCTCGGCCGCCGAAACCGCACCCGGCTCACGACCGATCTCCTGTGGAAACGTGCAGCCTCTCCCGCACAGCCTCGGACACGGACAGCAGTTACTGCGTCCCTACAGCAGGGATGCCGCCGTCACGTAGTAACACCATTTCCACCGTGGAGCTGAACAAATTGCGAAAAGGTCAGCTTCTGCTCTGAGAGAGGTTGGCGAAAGCAAGCCTGGGTCTTCTGAATGTTAGCCCTTTTTGTAGCGTGATGGTCAATGACACTCCTTTTATTCCCTTCAGCTGTGCAGTTAGCCAATCACCTAGCACAGGTACCAGAGTCTCAGATGGCTGGCTGGGGAGACACGTGTGTGCACCCAGGTGTGCAGGCATGCCCTGCTGGAAAGGATACAGTGTGACCTCAGTGATGCCTTCCTGCCTCAGCGAGCCCACGCATCTCGCTCTCCCACTTCTCCTGTGTCCTGGGTGGGCAGGCCCTCTGCTGGGGCAAAGGGGCAGGAAATAGCCCAGCCGAAAAAGACTCTCCAACTCACACCCTTTCCTATACTGTGTGCCGTTATGGCCACTGAGGTGTCACATCTGTTGGGTTCTGTTTCCTTCCTTTATATATAACCCGATTTTACACTGTGTCTAACAGGCGAGATTCTGTTCCAGTCAAGCCATTATGTTTTTTGTTGGTGTGACTTTTGTTTGCTTTTGAAGTACTGAATCTTCTCTCCCCTTATCACTACCCACTTCACGTACTGCTAGTGAGTATACCCCTGACCTAGAGCCTGCAAGCAAAGGTTACAGACTTTAGGGCAAAAAGGGGGTCTAGATTATTCTCAGACTTTCTTGAAATGCTGAAAATAGAAAGCCAATGTTTTAATGCACATACTCTAAAAACTCTTTGCTAAATTTTCTGTATTTTGCAGTTTTTTCCAGCTATCTTACAGAAGATAAAGATTTAATGTTCCATGAATAGTCCTTATAAAAGTGCCTGTGTACCTATTCAATACCAGGTTAATAGATTTATTTGAAAGGCAGAGTTACAGTGAGAGAAAGAGAGATCAATCTTCCATCTGTTTCACTCCCAGATTGCCGCAATGGTCAGGGGCTGTGCCAGACCAAAGCCAGGAGCCAGGAGTTTGTTCTGGGTCTCCCACATGTATGCAAGGGGCCAAGCACCTGGACCATCATCCTCCGCTGTTTTCTCAGGCACATTACCAGGGAGCTGGATCAGAAGTGGAGCAGCCTGGACTAGAACTGGTGCCCATATGAGATGCCAGCGTAGTAGACAGTGGCTTTACCCACTACACCACAGTGCCAGCCCCAACACCAATTTCTAACTCCCTTTTTGAAATAACTATATAAACTAGTTATAAGTTAGTGAGATAGAAGTAAGGTTGAAGTTGGCTTAGAAGATGAGAAAATAAGGATGGGCAATTTGGCACAGTGATTAAGCCACTGCTTGGGATGTCTGCATCCCATATTGAAGTGCCGGGATTCAAGTCCCAATTCTCCCTCCTTTCCGGTTTCCTGATAATGCACACCCTGGAAGCAGCACCCAAGTACTTGGGCTCTGCCACCCACATGGGAGACCCAGATTGAGTTCCAGGTTCCTGGCTTCAGCCTCACCCAGTCCTGGCTGTTGCAAGCATCTGGAGAGTGAACCCGCAGATGATCTCTCCCCACTCCTTCCCCTGTCTCTTTCTCGCTGCCTTTCAAATAAATAAAACTTTTTAAAGTTAAAATATAGGAAAATAAAAGTACTGTCTGTCTCCCCCATCTTTAGATACCATCTCATCCCAGGCTTAGACATTCACTCGATAATCAGCTATGACATTGGTATTGGCTAGCATTTCTGTGTCTATTTTTTAGTGATTTAATAAGCTCGTTCAACATCTTCTTTGACTATCCTTTTTAAAATCTGTGCACATGGATGCACGTATGCATGTGTGTAGAGATTGGTTCATTCCTGCCTACTTAAGAGTTGGTAAAGATGGGAAGAAATGATAGTTTGTTCTTTGTTTTAGATGCTAGTTCTCAAGACTGCTATGATATTCCACGAACATTTCCAAGTGATAGATCTAGCTCCCTTGAAGGCTTCCATAATCACTTTGTAAGTATAACTGACCTTGGCATCTTTGAGTGCTTGTCAAAATCTTTGTACTCAGTATCCTGAGACTAAAATGAAATCATGAAGTAAAAGTACCTGCAGATGGCTTTGATTGGATGTGACTTACGATTGTGTTTTGACATTTGACAGTTTTTGTTTATTAAAACAAATGTATATGTGTTTTAGAAAATCAAAAATGTGTTGACAGTGGGAAGTGTGTCAAGTGAAGAAATGGATGAAAATTATGTTCCAATGAATCCCAACTCACCACCACGACAACATTCCAGCAGTTTTACAGAACCAATTCAGGAAGCAAATTATGTGCCAATGACTCCAGGGACATTTGATTTTTCTGCATTTGGAATGCAAGTTCCTCCACCTGCTCATATGGGCTTCAGGTCCAGCCCAAAGACACCTCCCAGGAGGCCAGTTCCCGTTGCAGACTGTGAACCACCCCCCGTGGACAGGAACCTCAAGCCAGACAGGAAAGGTAAGGAGTCTCTGGAGAAGTGGAAGGATGGGGGATATCGTGTCATAAAATCCAGAACAGAACTGGGACTAGAATGTCGGGAAGAGATCGTATTACCTTAGTGGTGAACTTAATCAAGTGAAGCAGGGCTGCTGTTTATAGATTAATAGTTATTATGGCACGTGTTGATGACCTGGTGAGATTCATAAGTCTCCTATCTCTAGGGAAGAGGTTACAAATTAAAATAGCCACAGGGGTTAGCAGGAAGCATGAATGCCTTTGCTCCATCTAAACAGAGTAACTTATTGCTGCTCTACTGCAATCCTTTATTGAATTGTGACGATAGGGCTCCACCCAGGCAAATCTTCTGGTATCACAGGAAAAAAAAAAAAAATGGGGGATTTTGTATACGTGATCTGATTTCCAATGTTCTACTTTAATTGCTTTTATGTAATTACATTATATTTTTTATGTAACTAATTTGATTTTTAAAAAGAAACATTACAGACCAAACAATTCTCCAAGCTAGATAGTGGCCACTAGCTACTATTTTGTAGCCTCTTCGCCAGAGTATATGATATCAAATCAGATTTAAGATTATTGACGTACTTGACGTAGTTGTTTAAGATCCGTGTGGTTGCCTATATAATCTTTCTATTCTGCTGAGAGAATAGCTTTTTAAAAATGATCCTGCCTTTGCCGGGGAATAAAGAAATGCTGCTGTTTTTTCACCCTGGCCTTCTTAAGTAACATTAAATTTTAAGGTAGCATATTTTGTGAGGAACTATTTGTAATAAAAAGTTGTCAGCCAGATCGGTTAATATCCACCCAAGCTTTTCAAATTTGGGTTTAAGTGCTTAAAACACAGAGAACTAGCCATAGTGTTGATATGACTTAACCTTGCAACCGAATAAGTTGGCATACATGTGGTAAGTGGGATAATTTCTGGCTTACTGCAGGGATTTCTAGCACGTTTTAAAAGTCTCGTGCTGTATACGGCTTTTTAAGAACATGGCATGTTTGTAAGTTTCTCATTAACCTTGGCCGAGATCACTGGTACTGGTACTGATGAAGGTCCAGTTGTGGAGAACAGAGACTGATGGTCACCCAGAGCACCTTGGGAAAAAGGGTTTCATTGTGTTTGTCGGTCCGGACACACATGTGCTCACACAGGAGCACTTCTGGGCAGGAGGCGGTTCTCGGGACTGTGTCCCGCTCTCTCTGCTCTTCTGTTCTGTCTCACGGGAACTCGGCACCTGCTTTGTTCTCCCGCGCCTTCTCCTCTGTTTTCTCCTACTCTGTATCCCCGGCCTTCTTTGGGTTCGGCTTCTGGCGCGCTTCAGCCTGCCATGTGCCTGTGCGGCCTCAATTCCACCCCCTGCCTCCTTTGTATGTGCCCCGGCAGCCTTCGCATCAGCTTCTGGTTCCTTCCTTCCTTGTTTATTCTCTTCAGATGACTTGATTGGTCTAATCGGCCACCTGACAGAGTGGCTGCTGTGAGTCCAGGGTCCAGCTGTGGTCTGACAGCTATAAAAAAGGCCATGTGTGACACCCACGGCCATACAGACTGCCAGGGCAGCAGGGACATCGCTGGGGTGGTTATCTGAGAAAGACGGAGCTTTTTATTGGGTCAGGTTTCCTTCTCTCGTGTCCTGGTTTGTTTCTTAATCTCTGTTTTAGACATCAGTAGTCCTTGTCCTCTTTGCCTACAATGGCACAAATATATTTGGACATTAGTAGATGTATAATTGGCTCATAGATCACTGCAGGATTCAGATACAAGTGTATGAACTCTTTGAACTACTGGAATATCTTTTAGTGTTGAAACTGGCACTTCATACAATGAGTACATGTTGGCACCAGGTTTCTACTTTAAAAGTATTTATTTGAAAGAGCTAGAGAGAGAGAGAGAGAGAGAGAGAGAGAGAGAAACTCTTCCATCCACTTGTTCATTCCCCAAGTAGCTGCAATGGCAAGGGCTGAGCCAGGCCAAAGTCAGGAGCCAGGAGCTTCATCTGGATCTCTCACGTGGGTAGCAGGGGCCCAAACACTTGGGCCATCTTCCATTGCTTTTCCCAGGCCATTAGGAGGGAGCTGGATCAGAAATGGAGCAGCCAAGATATGAACCAATACCCATGGGCCACAGTGCCGGCCCTAGATCTCTACTTTTTTAACCCCAAACTTCAGTTTTATAGCTTGCAACCCTGCATAAACGTGGAGGTGCTGAGTTTTCTGGAAGGACACAAGTTCTAAGTTCTTGTGCCCCTGCCTGCTCCTTTCACTTCCTCTGGCCCTGCAGAACACAGTTTGAAAGATTCCAGTGTATTTCACAGTGAGATTCCATGCAGTGAGAGTATAATGTAGACTCATGTAAGATCTCTATATGTTAGAAAAATTTTAAGATTTTTTAGCATCATCTATGTCTGTTTTAGCTTGTTTTGCCCATATATTTTATATATATCAAAGTAATGATATATACTGTATCTATATATATACTACATCTGTGGGTAATTACACATGTGTATGTAGAAAGTACTAGGTATTCTTGTACATGTGAGATTAATGGTCCTAGTTCTCCAAAGCAACCCGAAGTGACTGTAATTGACAGGAGGACAAGAGAAAGTAGGTTCTGGAGATTGTTCATTCTTTTAAAAATTAACTGTTCAGAGACGATCCTTAGCTCCTTGACCAAATTATTTATTTTGTATATTTGCTTAGATGCCAAATGAATTGAGAGCACCCAAGTTGACAGACCCATAGCAAAATCAAGAATAGTTCACTAAAAAATGAAAGGATTACTCAGAATCATCATATTAAGACAAATGTCTCTGCTTTTCTTTTGTACTGTGCTCCTTTTTAACTAAATGTAATATAAGACAACAAGGTATGAGAAAGTATCTAACAATACAGGGCACACTTTGCATCCCACTTAGAAAGTTACTAGTCTTTGATGAACAGATGTTATTTTCAATCTTAAGTCAGGATTTAGGTTAACTTGTAACAATTTAAAGGGCATAAATAATGGAGTGCAGTTTTCCAGATAGCCTTAATATGTGGGGTTTTATTATTCTGAAGTAGTCTTGGTCTTCAGGTGTGATTCTTATACCCTTTATACAATGAGACCATTAAAACAAGTGTAAACATTTTCAGTATTCTATCTTGATTAATTTGGGGGACTAGCAGAGGATAATAATGTTGTGAATTACTTTTCTTTCTTGATTGTGGAGCTACCTACTGGAAATAGAATTTCCAAAATATTGGGACAACCAACTAACCTGTGCCACATTAAACCTAGAATGATAGGGAAAATAAAGTTTCCACTTTGAGTTGAATTTATTCAAGCAATACCTACTAGGATGATGCTCAGTAGTGTATGGACTTTTTGCAAAGGATTGTGTCTCTGGAATTAACACATGACCCTGTGTGGCTACTTTGACCATATTTGAGATGACCAACCATGGGAAGATCATTTAGTTGTTCCCCCTTTTAAAAGACAAGCAGGTAGAAGTGTGTGAAATCGATCAGCTTATTTAAAAAAGAAAGGCAGTTTAATAACATTCATTCAACCTGGATTTAAAAGCCTGCCAGTCACAGCATATACCTACCTGTTGCTGAGCCTTAGGGCTCCAACCATGGACAAAGAAAAGCTGCTTCCCTGAAGAGGCTCACTGCCTGGCGGGGGAGGCAGGAAAGTAAACACATTATCCTAATGACTGTGGAAGGGGCTGTGGTTGAGGTAAGGCTTGGCACTGTTAGGGAAGCTCCCCTGAGGAAAGTATGGGAGTCTAAGTTGCAATTAAATGGTGCTAGAGGAGGCAGAACAGAGAAGCATCTAGTCAGAATAAACAACCTGCTTGGATGCTTTCAAAAACAGGCGATAAGACTGGCCCAGCATCTTGGGTGGGTGGGCGGGTGGGCAGGCAGCCTGAAGGCAAGGAGGAGGGAAGAAGCAGAGGAAGGCGTGCCAAATGCCTTGCAGGTCCCTGATCCTGAGGGCATTATGATCCATGCTAATAAGTTGCGACTTCATTCTAAGTGCTTAAAAGACTTAGGCAGGCAGGTAACACAATCAGGTTGGACCTAGAAAGTTCATTCTGATTTAAGAATACAGTAAAAAAAGTAGTTGCATGTTCTTTTTTCTGTGTTCTCACCTCCTAAGTAATATTTGGGCATGAATTTCACTCCTATCTGGATTGATTTTGGAAAAACTAACAAAGTACCTGAGTGACACACTAGCTTTTGTCCTAAAACCAACCTTAAGCTTTTCATAGAGTAGAAAATACATGTAAATGTAATAAATGCACTTTGAAAATCTCACTTTATATCATGGAAAAGGAGTACTCTGATAGCATAAGATAAAGTCAAGGAAGAGTTGGGGCAAAATGCTTCCAGTTTCCATGCATCTGCTTGGGGCTTATATATGATTGCTAGGATCATTTGACTCCTTTGAGAATTACTTTGTGTAGTATGCATCATCACAATCAGATCTGTTTTAGACTTGCTTTTATTTGCTGTTGAACACTCCAAGAATGGATTGGACTTGCTCTAGAACCCCAAACTGAGTCTGCTCAACCAGTGCACAGCAAGCCAATCACTGAGACAGGGGTGACGGAAGAAAGCAGGTGTTTATCGCAAAGCACAGAATAAGGAGCCAGGCATCTAATGTTCAATTCCTGAATACCTCCCCCCCTCTCCCCCCAGAGAGTCAAGACAGTGGGTCTTGTAGTTCAAAGTTGGAGATGAGCAGGGTGTGACCGGCTCACCTGTGGGCCTCTGGTTGGTCCACAGTGCGCATGGCCTTCCTCTGCCTGGCAAGCATGTTTCCTTTGGAATGGCAAAGGAGGGCTCCAGGCGGTCTGGGCCCAAGGGTAGACTGGATGGTAGTTTCTTTGATCAGGTTCTGTAAATGTCCTCAAAAACCCTTGGAATGCAGGCTGGAATTGAGATGTTAACCCTGTGAGCTGTACGGGCAATTCTGGTCTTTATGACTTAGTCTCTTGCTCTTGTGTCACTCCCTTAATTTGAAGAGTTCATCTTCACAGAGGAACTGCAAGCTAAGAAAGAGATATGGAGACCTGATAAAATCTACATCAAAGACATTAGGAGTATGGGTTTGGCCTCAGTAGTGACTGACAAGAAATTACTGGTCATGAAGGTAAAGCTTTCAGAGAAATGTAATGATGTTAAATATCTATTTAACGTTTGAAGTACTTGAAATTAAGTTGGGAGGACTTACTGTACATAAAAGCAAAACAATTCACATCCTTTTGTGGGAAGAGCTATAGTACAGTAAGGATTGCAGGCTGGAATAAGGATATAGGAATAACAGAATGAGCCCTATATCTGGATTCAAATCCTGGCTCTGTGCAAATGTCCCAGTCTCTCCAACAAGTGCTGACAGATGAACAAGACGTGCTTTAAAGGTACCTTCCCTACAAGGTTGTTGGGAGCATGTCGGGAGGTTTTTAGAGTGCCCAGTACGTAAGGACCCTTCCGTAAATGCTCATCATGAATGATTCAGTGCCGAGATGTTCCTCAGGGCAGTGTCAGCAGAGCATCACTTGAGCATTGTATAGAAACTCACAGACACTGGTTAGTAAAGTCGGGATGGAAGCTGACGGGGAGTGGAGGAAAGGGCTGAAGTGAGAATTAGAGAGTGGTCTCACCAGAGCAGAGTGCGATCCAGAAGAACACAACCTCCGAAGCACGCGCAGCTTTTTCTTGTGGCGCCTTCCACGTTCTCCATGACTTCTCCAGAGAACCCTTAGGAACTCTGTGTCCTTGTCTGAGAAGTCACTGGGTGTCTTGGAATGAAACTCACTGAATAGAACTTGAAAGGAGCTGGGTCCTGCCTAGCACTTTTCTCACATAGCAGGCTCTTTGTTGCCATTTATTGTTTCTTCTGTCCTTTTCAGTTTGAATGTCATTCACCTAGCTTTAGAAGAATAAAGATAGGAGTTGAGTTTCTCATTCTTTTTTGTAATCTGTTAAGATTACTTTCTCTTCCTTCCCAAACAGTAGGTTTGTTCTTACAGAGGTTTCAAAATAGCCCTCTTCTTATTTTTCATAAGCCCGTGATCATTCTGGAACGTAGCCATCAAGGCTGCATTTATACAGGCTTCAGTAACTTCTTGCCGACCTTGATCATCCACTCCCCCCTTCAGAGCTGCTCATTTGAAAAGCTCTCTTTGTTGTCATATTGGCAAGGCGCTGGTGTTTTATGACCAAATACATTTGGGTAAAGAAGGGATTGTGGAAATATAACTGAGGCTGTCTGCCTAAGGGTCTGGGAACTGGTGCTCTGGCTAAGCCTGGGGAGGTGAAAAATGGTTCAGAGCAGAAATGATCAGCTTGGTTTCCAGTACAGGAGAGGTGACTGGAAGTGACTTACTCCAACTCGTGGGAAGTGGGGGCCTGAAGAAAAAGTGAGGAACTGTAACTAGGCAGATCAGGCAGCCACATGACCGTGGGCATTTACAAACTCAGATATGATGTTGAGGGTGCAGAGTTAAGAAATGCAGAGTAAGGATTAGGAGACAACCACAAAGAAAGAAATCAGGAGGAAGCTACAGAGCTAACGCACACGGCTCTCTCTGAAGAGGAAGTCAAGGACACAGTGGGTAAACACCCACAGGCCTAAAGTCGTTGTAAAAGTTTTGCATAGTTATTACACTTCACTTCAGGTGTATGTCGGCGACCTGTGGCTCTCACACAGATGTGGTGCTTCACAGTAACGTCAGCCTTACACACAAGTGTAGCAATAAGTACATTTCTTCTTCCAGTTGAGTTCCCTAGTTTGTGACTGTGTGATCTCAGAGGAGCTCAAAACTGAACTCCAAATGCCCTTCGATTCTCTACAGCCCAGCAAGTGTAGAGGTAAAGGCAGTGTGCCGTATGGTATGGGAGCACCACACCAGCAGGTGGGGGGCCAAAGGAAGCCTTAATTTTGCATTGGATTAAAGTTGCAAGCAGAGCAAGTCCCTTCTTTATGTCCTCTGAGGATATCTATCCATGAAGTAGAGAAACTGGATTTGATTTGTGAGTCTACAATAAATGTATTTTCCTAATAGTAAAATTTTTATTTTTTACATTCTAGAGAATTACATTTTAAGGAGACTTAATTTTTTTGACAGGCAGAGTTAGAGAGAGAGAGACAGACAGAAAGAAAGGTCTTCCTTCTGTTGGCTCACCCCTCAAATGGCCGCTACAGCCGGCACTGCACCGTTCTGAAGCCAGGAGCCAGGTGCTTCCTCCTGGTCTCCCATGGGGTACAGGGCCCAAGCAACTGGGCCATCCTCCACTGCCTTCCTGGGCCACAGCAGAGAGCTGGCCTGGAAGAGGAGCAACCGGGACAGAATCCGGCACCCTAGCCAGGGCTAGAACCCAGGGTGCCGGTGCCACAGGCAGAGGATTAGTCAAGTGAGCCACGGCGCCGGCCGGAGACTTAGATTTTGATAGAGGCTAGATATCAACCTTTATCCAAAAATGCTAATTTTGCCTTCTAACAGATGTCAGCTCAACTTTGTGAGTTAAGAATATCTGGAACCATTGAGAACGGAGTAGATTAAATTACTATTTCAGCTGATGTTGCTGCTGTGCAGTTGGGGCTTCTGATAGGGAAAGTGTGAGACCAATGACTGGGTCTCAACACAGTGCTTGTGTGTGGCAGAGACCTTCGTGTTTTCTTGTGAGACACCAAACTTCAAAGAAGAGATGTAACTGAGCTCAGAGGGACTTTATAACTTCTTATTTGATCCCATTGTATAAGACATGTTAGAAGAAAAACTAACATGGCACGCGTGTTTCCTCCCTTTCCTCAAAGTTAACAACTAACCAGGCTGGTTGTCCTGCTGAAACCCGTCCATCGGTTGTAACCTTCGCTAACTGCACGCAGCTGCTGCCTTTCCACGGTGCTGAGCATGCAGGGTACACAGCAAGGCGGAAGGTTTTCCACAGACCGGTGTTTATGCTGCTGAGACGTAACATTTCTGCACGGGGCTCTGTTGTTTTTACAGAATCCATTTTCCAATTAAAAAATAACATCATATTAAGAGAGTCTTCTTTTTACCAATTAGGTCAAAGCCCTAAAATTTTAAGACCCAAACCCCATGGTTTAGAGCGAACTGATTCACAAACCATAGGTGACTTTGCTACAAGAAGAAAGGGTATGTACTCTAGCACCGCATGCTGTATGGGGTATTGGGAATTTATCTTGTAATGTTCTGTCCTTAAGGCAGTAAAGAAGCGCCTTAGATACTACAACTTTTGTAAATAAAACTTCCCAGCATGTTGTCTGTCGAGTGAATGCTTCCTGTAACTCAGTGAGTCTACTTGTTATGCCATTAACAGCAGCATGTTATAGATAATATATAATATTCAGTCTTATCCTTTTTCATTATTCCTTTAACATTTTAGATAACACATTGTTTTAAGTTTGTAAACTGCTTTTGTCTCCTGTCTTTATACATAGTCTGTTCTGAAACAATAGTCATTTCTTGCATTAATTATACCATTACTTAGATATTTGATAGCTAAGCTGCTGTGTATTATTGGCCTTTGGGTATCAAAAAAAAAGTAACATTAAGAATTAAAACTACTGCATTTCAGTCAGTGCAGTATTCTGTACAGGTCTATTTTAAGTATATAGACAAAATTGCTTTCACCCAAATTTAACCAATTTACTCTTCACTATATTTGAGTTGACAAAAATACTTACTCATGAGCCTCAGTCCTTAAATATGACCATCTGTTTTGTATTTGATAATTATAGCATCATTGATTAAAATTATACACATAAGAACAGACTAAATAGCAAACTGGGAAAATGAAAAATTTTCCTTTAGAGTGGCAGGATAAAAAATATGCTTAAATTATTTTCTAAACTAAATTAATATTAACAGGTAAGATTGTTTTAGTTCTTTTGCTTACTCTATAAATTTCTGAAAAACATTTCAGTCTTAGTAATGGATTCAGAACTCTATTATACATACTAGTGCAATAATCGCTGCAATAATGAGGTAAAGACCATTTATAAATAAAAATAAGAATGTTAGCATCTACCGAATTTTATTTAATTGGGAAAGGATTTGTTGGCTAAATTAAGCTGAAAATTTCAGGTAATTTTTTGAGATTATGGCCTTTGCTCAGAGCAGAGTTTGAGTCAAAAGATACAGTAATTATGATGTGGTTTTGTTGTTTCCAAACTAGGCATGAGTTTTCTTAAAAGGCTTGATAAGTTCTTTAGACTTTAGCAAAGTTTTTGCTTTCTTTTTAGCAAAGATTTGTTTTTCATGCTTCCCATGCATCATTTTATATGTATAGTTTCTAACTTCAATATTGAAGAATGGGAACTTTTTACATGAACAACTTAATTTCCATATTGACAATGAAGTTAGTGAAAAGAGGGAATTCATGAAAGAATTAAAAGTATAAATTGAGCACCAATAAAGGAATTGGACCGTATTACCCTTTCTCGTTCTTAGTTTATGTTCATAAAGTTTTGCTTAAATTCAGAGGACAACCTGTTGAATAGAACTTGAGGCCTTGAGTTAATAATTATGAAACACTGTCAAAGATCCAGTGTCTGTCCCTCGTTGTTTGGCTGTGTATCCTTGGAAAAACCATTTAACATCCTTGAACCTCATTTCTTGTGTAAAACAAGCTGATTTTAGTTGTACCCTGGCTGTCAGATACAGATTGAGATATAAAGGGAGACTCTTGTATGATTTCCAAAGTTCTGGGTACTAAAAAATCTCTTTGCTGTTTGTTTTTTCAGTCAAGCCAGCACCTTTAGAAATAAAACCTTTGCCAGAGTGGGAGGAATTACAGGCTCCAGTTAGATCTCCCATCACCAGGAGTTTTGCTCGAGAGTGAGTTGTTTAAAATACCTTGTTTGGATAATGATTATACCTGGAATTGTTGTTATTGTGGAAAATATCTAGAATTAGCAGATCTCAAAGAATGGACTGAGGCACGTCACCTTTTTGACTTCTGTTAAATCTATTTTAATTCAGTATTTGCTTTTTCCATTCTGCTTCTCGCCTGAGTGTATCCTGCATTTTTCCATAGGCTATATGATAACGTGATATCATACATGGAGTGTGTATTTGTGTACCCTTGTGTTTAAAAAGGTTTCTACTTTCATTTCTATTATGATAAACATCAATAGAATAATTCATATAGACAGAAGTTCCTTGAGTTCTCAATAATTTTTAAAAATGTGAAGTGTTCATTTAACCAAAAATTTCTGACAACAACTGATCTGAAAAATTTCTTGTGGGAATCATGTAACTGAGATTTATTTAAATATATATAGGGAAGTGAGAATAATTTACAAAGTTATAAGCCTATGTTGATATGTGTTATATATAAGAATTCTTGGGGTGGGTGTTATGGCATAGCAGGTTAAGCTTAGAGCATCCACATTCCATAGCTGAGTGCCTGGTTCCTGTCCTGCTGTTCTGCTCTCAGTCTTGCTTCTTACTAATGCATATTCTGGGAGGCAGCAGGTGATGTCTTATGTTCTTGAGTCCCTGTCACCTACTTGGGAGACCTGGATGGAGTTCCAGGCTCAGCTTCAGCTTAACCCAGCCCAGACTGTGGCGGGCATTTGGAGAGAGAACCAGTGGATAGAACAGATATCACTCACTTGCTCACCCTGCCTTTCAAATAAAAATTTTTTTCAGATTAAGAATTCTTAGGGGCAAGCACTGTGGCATAGCTGGTAAAGCCACCACTTGTGGTACCAGCATCCCATATGGTCACAGGTTTGTGTCCCAACTGTTCCACTTCCAATCCAGCTCTTTTCTGGTGTGCCTAGGAAAGCAGTGGAAGACGGCCCAAGTCCTTGGTCCTCTGCACCCACATGGGAGACCCTGAGGAGGCTCCTGTTTTTGGCCTGGACTAGCCATGGCCATTGAGGCCATTTGGGGAGGGAACCAGGGGATGGAAGATCTGTCTTTCCTTCTCTCTATATAACTCTGCCTCTCTAATAAATTAATCTTTTAAAAATATTCTTAAATTTCTTAAATTTTCCTTTTTATATTTGTGACTTTGTATTTATCACTAAGTCACTGGTACTGTATTTAAAAAAAAATGTTTTGAAAGGCAGAATTACAGAGAGGGAGAGAGAGATCTTACATCCTCTGGTTCACTACTCAAATGGTCACAAGAGCTGGGGCTGGGCCAGGCAAAAGCTGGCAGCCCAGAGCGCCACCTGATTCTCCTGAGTGACTGTCAGGAACACAGGTGCTTGAATCCTCATCTGCTGCTTCCTCGGGTGCATTAGCAGGGAGCTGGATTGGAAGCAGAACAGCCAGGACTCAAACCTGTGCACTGGTATGTGGTGGGCAGCAGCTTAACCCACGGCACCACAACACCTGCCCCCAGTAATATACTTGTGTTTTGCACAAGATAATTTGATGTCCAAAATGAACTTCATTATACAGCTATGCATATTCCTTGTGTTTGGCTCTGCACAATAAATCATGTTATAATAAATGCATACATAGGCCGGCGCTGCGGCTCAGTAGGCTAATCCTCCGCTTGTGGCGCTGGCACCCTGGGTTCTAGTCCCGGTCGGGGCGCTGGATTCTGTCCCGGTTGCTCCTCTTCCAGTCCAGCTCTCTACTGTGGCCTGGGAAGGCAGTGGAGGATGGCCCAAGTGCTTGGGCTCTGCACCCACATGGGAGACCAGGAGGGAGCACCTGGCTCCTGGCTTCGGATCAGCGCAGCACGCCAGCCATAGCAGCCATTTGGGGGGGTGAACCAACAAAAAGAAGACCTTTCTCTCTAACTCCGCCTGTCAAAAAATAAAATAAAATAAATGCATACATAAATAATTATAAACATAAATGAGTATTTCTGAAGGTATGCATGCTATGACTCATTTTTATTTTGGATGTGATTTTATAAATGTTTGTCAAGGTTTATTGTTGCAATGACAATTTCTGTCATTAGCTCCTCCAGGTTTCCCCTGTCCCCACGACCAGATTCAGTGCACAGCACGACGTCGAGCAGCGACTCACATGACAGTGAAGAGAATTATGTTCCCATGAACCCAAACCTGTCCAGTGAAGACCAGGTATGTAAAGCCTTCCTCTAAGCTTCTCTGTCTCCTGCAGCTCTTTTCAATCATGCAAGCTGTGAATTTTCCCTCCCATCTTTATATACTTGAGGAAAAAATGATAGACAACTTTTAAAGATTTATTTATTTGGGGGCCGGCACTGTGGTGCAGCGGGTTAACACCCTGACCTGCAAGTGCTGGCATCCCGTATGGGCGCCGGTTCAAGACCGGGCTGCTCCACTTCCCATTCAGCTCACTGCTATGGCCTGGGAAAGAAGTAGAAGATGGCCCAAGTCCTTGGGCCTCTGCACCTGCGTGGGCGAATCAGAAGAGGCTCCTGGCTTTGGATCAGCACAGTTCCGGGCGTTGCGGCCAATTGGGGAGTGAACCAGCCAATGGATACTTATTTATTTTTAATGGCTGCTGTTATGTTCTCTGAAATGTCAGGCACTCAAGGGAAAACCAGAATAACATCTCCAACAGGTCAATTATCGGTGTCTCAAGACACCAGCCTCTGAGAAAAGGCACTCTGGAAACACCTTGGCTGTGAGCTCTATGTGCACGAGGGCTGATGTCAGAGGCCAACCCAACCTCAGGTGTTTTCATTAATGGTTTCCAGTCGGTGCTCACACTATCTTTTAGAAGATGAGATGTAGGGTCCAGCACTGTGGCGCAGCGGGGTAATCCTCCGCCTGCAGTGCCAGCATCCCATATGGGCGCCAGTTCATGTCCCGACTGCTCCTCTTCCCATCCAGCTCTCTGCTATGGCCTGTGAAAGCAGTAGAAGATGGCCCAAGTCCTTGGGCCCCTGCACCCGCATGGAAGACCTGGAAGAATCTCCTGGCTCCTGGCTTTGGATCAGTGCAGCTCCGGCCATTGTAGCCAATTGGGGAGTGAACCAACAGATAGAAGACCTCTCTCTCTCTCTCTCTCTCTGCCTTTCCTTCTCTTTCTGTGTAACTCTAACTTTCAAACAAATAAATAAATCTTTAAAAAAAAAGAAAAGATTTATTTATTTGAAAATCGGAGTTACACAGAAGGAAAGGCAGAGAGAGATCTTCCATCGGCTGGTTCACTCTCCAGTTGGCCACAATAGCCAGAGCTGCACCAATCCAAAGCCAGGAGCCTCTTCTGGATCTCCCACACGGGTGCAGGGACCCAAGGACTTGGGCCATCTTCTGCTTTCCCAGGCCATAGCAGAGAGCTGGATTGGTAGTGGAGCAGCCGGGACTCCAACCGGCGCCCATATGGGATGCCAGCATTGCAGGCGGCAGCTTTACCTACTACCCACAGCGCCGGCCCCTAGACAACTTTTAAAAATGCTTTTTAAAAAGTTTTACTGGTTTTAGACTTTATGATACTATTTTAAAAGAGTCAATGTGTGATATCATTATCTTTCATTGTAAATTGTTTGAAAAAACATAAAATTTTCCAGCTATATTTAAGATGTGCTTGATTTTTTTTATAGTCTAAGAAAATACATAGGAAGCATTTTATAATGGAGTTCTCCAGGCCCAGTTCATGGTGAAACAGTCATGTGAAGAAAGTCTTTGAGACTCTTTCAGTAATATATCCTTAGATGGGCTTTACAAAGCCCTGTTACATAATTTTAGATTAGCCATGTTATCACAAGGCAGAGTTTTCTAATAGTAGCAAGCATTTTGTTTCCCAGAAGTCACATAGTTGCCAGAAATAACTTCAGATGTTTTAAGAATGCAAATTAACTTTAATTCCTAAAAGTAGTGTGCTTTTGCTTTACCTCAGATTTAAGACTTGCTCTGCTGATTTTTTAGTGAGCGGGCATATCAGCATTAGGCTCACCTCTGAGTTAACAATAAGTGACTTGAGAGAAGCTGATTTCTTTCTCATGGTAAAGCGCAGAGAGTTGATGCAAGATTATTGTGGCAGCGCAGTTCTCCGGAGCCCTCAGAGAGTCAGCCCCTTCCAGCCCTGGACTCTGCTGTCCCCTGGGCATGGCCCCACCAAGTGCAGTCCCACACCCAGCTTCAGTGGGGAGGGAAGGGAGAAGCAGCAGAGGCTACAATACACCTGCTTCGTGAAGCAGGTTCCTGGGAGCTTCCAGGCACACACCATCCACCGGAATCTCGCCTGCGCAGCCACACACAGGCACCAGGGTGGCTAGGAAGCACAGCCTTAGTTCTGAGGGACAGTGGGTCCTCCTAAAAATCCCATTCTCGGGGCAGAGGGCAGAGCAGGTGGTGGAGGACACCAGGCAGTATCTGTCAGGATAAGCAAGGAACTAATATCACAACTGGGAGTGAGTGACATGCTAATGACTATTTTCCTTAAAAATTCCTATTTGGAGATACAAAATATAAAGCCTAATTCTGTCAATGGATTTGTTTCTCATATTTAATTGACTTTAGGCAAAAAGAGGTTCCTGACAGCGTATATTGTCAGAGATTAGAATTAAGTGATTTGACAAACTTGATTTGGTCCTTTTTTTAGCTAATGAAATTGAAAATTTAGCAGGTTTATAAAGTATTCTAAAATAAGTTATATTTAGATCACCTTTGAATTACAAGCATCATAAAGCTGTGTTCAACTTACTGGTTTTTATTATTTTCAATGACTTAGCTGTTTTCTTGATTATACTAAATAGACTCTAGTAAGAATTTAAATCCTTTATAAATACTACATCAGAATAGATATTGTGGGGCTGGCACTATGGCGCAGCGGGTTAAAGCCCTGGCCTGAAGTGCCGGCATCCCATATGGGCACTGGTTCTGGTCCCAGCTGCTCCTCTTCTGATCCAGCTCTCTGCTATGGCCCGGGAAAGCAGTAGAAGATGGCCCAAGTGCTTGGGCCCCTGCACCCACGTGGGCAACCTGGAGGAAGTTCCTGGCTCCTGGCTTTGGATCGGCGCAGCTCTGGCCATTGCAGCCATCTGGAGAGTGAACTAGCGGGTGGAAGACCTCTCTCTCTGCCTCTACTTCTCTCTGTAACTCTGTCAAATAAATAAAATAAATCTTTTAAAAAAAACATATTGTTTCCAATTTTTATTATTAACTCAATTAGGCCTTTTTTTGTAATTAAAGATTTATAAAGGCAGAGTTACAGAGACAGGGGGAAGGACAGAGAAATCTTCCATCAGCTGGTTCACTCCATCCTCTCTAAAATAAATCTTAAAAAAAAAAAAAAGGCAAATAGACTTCCTTATGGACACATGACAGTGAAAAAAAAATCCACAGTTCTAATGATAGTTAGATACAACGTTTAATGAGCAACTCTGAGAAAGTGTCTTTGGGAACAGCTAATAGGTACTAAGCATGCAGTCGTATGAACTTACGGAGTCTGTGTATAGCCTTACGGGCACTGTGACTGCTTCTGTGTGCTTCCTGTCTGGCACTTGCCTGCCGTCTTCCACGGATCATCTTTGAGTGCAGAATTCTACACACACTCACAGCTGACTCTGTGTGTGTGACAGTGAAGTGTGCGGTCATTCAAAGAAACACTTTCCTGATGATTTCAGTCTCTTCACAAACTAGAAAAGGGGAGAAGGGGAAGGTTACTATTTGTATCAATTGAGTACCCAAACAAACTTTTTTGTGCCTGCTTTTTATTTATTTATTTATTTATTTGACATATAGAGTTAGACAGTGAAGGACAGAGACAGAAAGAAAGGTCTTCCTTCCGTCGGTTCACCTTCCAAATGGCCGCCTGCTACTTTCAATATTATTGAACATCTTATTAACAGCACTTGGTCACTTTGATTTAAAAATCCTTTCTTCCACATAGGGCTGTCACGTGTAGTTGTGTACTGCATGGTGTGCAGTATGTACACAGTACTGCACACACCATGTACCCATATCCAGGCCAGATGCCATTCATCGGCCTGGGCCTGGGCACAGAGCCGTGTAGCCCCAGGGGAAGAAACACCCTTTCCTAATTCACAACGAGGGTTTATGCCGGCTGTCAGCAGCCCTGCTCAACCAAACGAGGGACTAAGTTCAGTGTTTGTCTAGCAAATGTCCGTTCCGTAAAGCACAGCTTTCGCTGTTCAGCCTGAGCAAAAGAAATGAAGTAGCAGTAGAAAGGAATCAATTTAGCCAGGTTTATGCAGCTTTCAGATTGTTTTATCATAACTGGTATAAATTTTTAAGTTCATTGCATCACTGTGGTTTTCTTCTAAAGTATGAGATCCTATATGAACATTAGTAACACCGTGGCAGAAGGCACACAAGTGAAAGCTCTAACACTCATGTGGTCTTCCTCTGAGAAGTCAGGAACATTTCCCAATGGGGTTAAAAGCAGTAAGGCAGGAAAACAGATCCTTTTTTGGAGCACAGTTAGAAAACTGTCATAACTAGAGGATGTATGTAGGGATGTCGTTCTTGGCCATCCTTTTTCGCTTAGCCCCGATCTTCAACTTCCTGCTAACCTATTTCTTTGCCATTTCCTGCCTCAAGCTTTTTCTTGCTGTTTATTGCTGTCATCTGTCTTCATATTTTCTTTATCTTGTTTTAGAGAAGACTCTTATAGCACAATTCCTTTTAGGAAGGAAAGAATCAGGCTAAGAGAAAGCAGGGGGAATTAAGTGGTAAGAATTCTAGAGGATTCAAACAAAACAGGCTTTGCCAATGGAGTCCTTATTCAAAGTCGTTAGGTGATCATTTTATTTGGAAAGCTTTTAAATAAAATGTAGAAAGTTTATTAATTTGAAAGTAGGTAATATAAAGATCTACCTAAAAATACTGAGTACAAATGTAATTTTAATAATGTTCAGGTTGAACTGTCACAGCTGGTTTCAGCTTGATGTTCCAATCTTAGTTTGAACCATGGTTAGCTTTTGAAACTACTTTCTAGCTTGCTCTAAGTTTTAATTGAGTTTTTAAAATACTACTTATTTTCTTTCAATCCTACAAGTACTTAATTTTCTAGATAAGCCTTTCTTTAAGCTGTGTCCTCTTGTAGCAAACGTGTAGGCCCCTGTAGACCACACACAGGGGCAGCCCCTCTCATGGCTCAGCACTGAGGTGGTTGTGCTGTACTTTCAGAGTCTTCTTGGCAGTAACAGTCTTGATGGAGGAAGCAGTCCTGTGATCAAGCCCAAAGGAGACAAGCAAGTGGAATACCTCGACCTCGATTTAGACTCTGGGAAGTCCACACCACCACGTAAGGTAAGCGAACCCCAATTCTAGAAACACAGGTAACTCACATTGTAAACCTACAGGATAATCTTTGAGGGGAATTTTGTGTTTAAGTTTCAGAAATCTCATTACCTCATACTGTTTCATAGAACACAAGTAAAAAAAAATTATGGAAACTGACAGATTCTGTTTTCCCCATTGACATGATCACTAAATTCCAAAGGTAGTTTGTTCACTCTCTTGGAAATGTTAGCTCAAATTATGTGCTATTTTGTACAGACAGGAACTCTGCCATTTAGAAGTTCACTTCACCCTCTATTTCTCTTACACCTTCGGTACTTCCCTTACTTAACACCTGGCAATGAATGCACTAATAATTATATTTGTCTAATATCTAGTTGGATTTTAAAAATAAGAGTGTCCATTAGCCTATGTACTTTGTCATTTTTTTAAAATATATATATATATATATTTGAAAAACAGAGATACAAAGAGAGAGATCTTCCATCTGCTGGTTCACGCCCCATACAGCCACAACAGGGCCAACCGGAAGCCAGGAGCCAGGAGCTTCCTCTGGGTCTCCCACAGGGGTGCAGGGGCCCAAGCACTTGGGCCATCTTCACCTGCTTTCCCAGACCACGGCAGAGAGGTGGATTGAAAGTGCAGCAGCTGGGACTTGAATGGGTGCCCATTTGGGATGCTGGCACTGCAGGCAGTGGCTTTACCCCTATGCCACAGCATGGGCCCCATCATTTTTAAAATATGCTTTTCAAAAATCATTCCTTAGTTCTGAAAGTGAACACTGATCAGGGCTTGAAAAGAGGCAAGCATTTGGCACAGCAGTTTAGACACCCCTTGGGATGCCTGCAGCCTTCACCGGAGTGCCTGGGTTCAAGTCCTGGCTCTACTTCCAATGGAGCTTACTGTTCACATGCACCCTGGCAGGCAGCAGCGATGGCTCAAGCAGCTGGAGCCCTGTCACCCACATGGGAAACCTGGATTGAGTTCCTGGCTGCTGGCTTTGCCCCCGTGAAGCAGTGGATGGAAGATCTGTTTCTCTGCCTTTTAAATAGAATGAAAATAGTTTAAGTCAAGCGTAACTCATAGGAACAATCCAGTTGTGCATGGTAACATGAGCCAGGTGTTTGCTCTCCTTATTTTCTGTGGATTTTATCTGTGATAGGAGCACTAGTTTGAATGCTTACATGTAGTAATTTTAAATTTAAGGGGGAAATACTGTATAGTTAGGAGACAGAACCCATTGTTAAATTGAGGTAATGTTCTTTGGCATTGTGTGTGTGTGTGTGACCCTGTAGAATTTCAAGTGTTCATGGTACATTTGTGTCTCTGTTTTAAGAATGAATTTCACTCAGAAACATTCCTTCATATGTGGGACCTTTTTTCTTTGCATTTTAGCAAAAGAGCAGTGGCTCAGGCAGCAGTGTCGCTGATGAGAGAGTGGATTATGTTGTGGTTGACCAACAGAAGACCCTGGCCTTGAAGAGCACACGGGAAGCCTGGACAGATGGCCGGCAGTCCACAGAGTCGGAAACACCCAGCAAGAGTGTCAAGTGAAAGCAGCACTCGGCTGTTTCTGAACAAGAGAACCGCACTGGAGAGAGAAAGCCTTTTTTGAAGATGACTTGACACTCTAGGTAGATCCTTGTAGGACTGCAGTCAAAGGACCTTTCAGACATAATCAAGCAATTTAGACTGTAAATGGTGCTTTGTGGTATCTGAACAATTCGTGCTGTGTAAATAATGTGGGGAAATAGTATTTAGCTCCCAGAGAAACATCTGTTCCATAATTAACACACTTGTAGTATTACTGTATTTATGCACTTTTTCGTTTAAAACATTGGTCTGGGTATTCCCCCATGTACTTTAACAGAATTCCTTTCGAACTTCCTGCCCCCGCCCCCCGCCCCGCCACTATTCTATGTAACAATACTAAATTAACTAAGCTACTTTCTAGATTTGGAAATTAGTGTTTAAAGTCTAAAGACATTAAAATGAGAAGTAGATAAACAAGTTAGCTTTCCCTGAAGCTTTGGGTGGTAACTATTAGCTTAGGCTACAAAGTAGAATTGGACTTATCAAATTCACTGCCTTCCAAAATGCTAAAGATAATGTGTGTCATGTCCTACTGCTGTCAGGACCTAGTTCTCTGGTTCATGTACATTTAGTTTTTAATGGTGGAACTTTGTTATATTTTGTTAATTACAGTGTTTTTGGTTCATTGAGTGAAGATTCTGCCGGGTAGGATCTTGCACTCTTGAAAGACTGAAATATAACACTATCAAGTAAGCCTGCAAATCATTGGTGGCATGCAGTGATGTTGTGTTCTTACACTTGTTAACATTTATTAAATGTTATTTGCGAAAGGTAGATTGTATAACTAATCAGGTACGTACAAGGCACTGATGTGCTAATACACTGATCAGGTTTAGACTACGAGCTTTAGTTGTGTTCTTGTTAATCTTAACATTGGTTCCCAGTTTGGAATTAATGAAGCAGTTGACACTCACTGTTAGTTATAGCAACATACTGTGATTTTTAATTAGACAGTAATTCAGATTTATTACTTTTAAGAATGAAATTCTGTCTTTTGACACCACAGTGCCCTTTCTATGATTTTTTTACTTACTATTCTTCTTGGCCTTATATTTAAATCCCTATGCAATTAATATTTTATATCTACCTTTTTTAAAAAAATGTTATATAAGTGATTCTCCTATGTAGCACCTGTTGCTTTTTCAGTCAGAGAATTGAAGATTTTGTACTGTGATTTCTATTCACTGCCCCAATTCAAGAAATATCAGAGCCTTACTATAATGTGAAATCTTACCGTCATGGACCCCTTCCACTCAGATTTCTGAAACTACCAGAGGAATGGTATAATTCTGTCTCACCTACAACATGGTCCTGCGACACTGATACCAAGACCAGGAATTTAGTGAGGCTACAATTATATTCATCTGTCTTAGCTTTGCAACATAATTTAGAAAGCAAGTATAGTTTGTTAACTAAGTTACATGCAATCTCTTATATACTGGTTTGAGACTTACTAACAGGTTTTGGAGGGGACATACATAGAGATAGAAATGCTCACTGCTGAGGCATGACACCTTTCCCTCCATTCAGACCTCTAACTGTTGCCTAAGTACACAGATGTGCCGATTTCTGGCCCCCTTGGCCATAGTACTGTGCCTAATCAATGTAATGGGTTTGTTTCCCCAATCCACAAACTAAAAGTGTTTATAACAAGATGAATTGTAGACTAGTAACATTTAATGCTTTTAAATGTTTGCTTCTTTTTAAACAAAAACTAAAGCCCAGAAGTGAATTTTGAGGTGGATTTTTAAATAAAAAAGATTGTTTGAGTTTGGTGTGCAAGCTGTTTATTGATGAAGTCACAAAATAAAATCTCAAATGATTGAAGTGTGCCTCAACTATCAACACACACAGTATAGTTTAGGCATAAAGATACTAACTTGTATTACCTGAAGGATGAACATACTTTGAGGTTTAAACCACAAAAATATACAACTCAAGAATGAAAACCTTTCTTTAAGGCTGTGTATCCCAACAGCAGGGCCCAAAGCAATTATGAGTGTTTTTTTCTGTGATTTCTGCTTCACTTTTTACAAGTTGACTCACCACTTTTGAAGATCTACAATACTCTAATCTGTAGAAATTTCCCTATGATGCTGAGCAATTTAAGAATTGAAATGGATTAGAAAAATGGTTTGCTGTAGATAACTAAATCATATTAACATTGTTTTAACAAATTAAAAGATAATTTCTTATTGATCAGCATCTTCCAAAGATTTTTAGCATTAAATGCTTTCTTAAAACTTCTTGTTACCCAAATACATACATACTGAAAAGTCCCTTTTATCAGTATATTTATAAATGTGTTGAGTGCCCAGGTTACTTATTTTAGTCTTTTAGTAAGAATAACAAGACTTCTGAATTATTTGAGTAATGCAAATATGGGGTATGAGGAGTTGATGAAACCTCAACAGTCAGTTTATTCCTATGCCTTATTCTGTTTGCATACTCTCAATAAAATTTTGCTTCTTGCAGATATAAATATGAACAATAAGCTTTTAAACACATCTCAGGAGATTATTTAGAGATAGTTTAAGTTGTATTCTCAGGTGTATACAAAGATTAACCTAGTAGCTGAAGTTAATACAGAATATGTCTAATGTGGCATGGTAAGAATATGTAACACATTAGAATACACATTTTTATTAGGTTTTAAAATAACACACTTGAAAAACTAAGTCAAATCAAACCCTTTAACTCACCCCTAACTCAACTCTTAAAAAGCTAGATTTTGGCAAGGCTTGAAAGCCACTGGTTACCCATGTGACTATTATGATGTTACCACTCTTCTTTCTGCTACATGTTTGACAACCACAACTTTTTTTAAGATTTAACTATTTTATTTCAAAGAGTTATACAGAGAGAGAGATAGAGAGACAGAGATCTTCCATCCACCAGTTCACTCCCTAGACAGCCACAGTAGCCAATGATGGGCCAAGCTGAAGCCAGGAGCCTGGAGATTCATCCAGGTCTCCCATTTGGGTGGCAAGAACCCGAACACTTTGGCCATCCTCTATTGCTTTCCCAGGTCATTAACAGGAGCTGGATTGAAAATGAAGCAGCCAGGCCATGAACCAGTACCCACATGGGATGTCAGTGTCACAGGCAGCAGCTTTACCTCCTATGCCACAACACCAGCTCCTGTCTCTATTTCTTATTGTGACAGACTAAGATTTTATGAAGGTTTAAATGTCAAGCAAAGCACACATAGCTGTCCTTTGAAAAGCTAAATTCAAGCTTGAAGAATATTAAGCTGTCTAACCCACATAAGCTATAAAAGATGTTATAAATCTGTACTCTAGTTTATACATTTTAATGTTAATCAGTACCACATAAACTACTGTGACTAGACAATTCCATAAAGGTACTATGACTGTGTTTTTGCATGTAGATAGCATTATATTTAGTCCTGAATTTAAATCTATATGCAAACACTGCTGTACTTGTACAATAAGGTCAGAATTTCTTCTGGACATTTTATATTTAATTAATGGGGTTCACAATCTTCCTATTCACACTTAAACTGGAAATGTGGCACCTGTGCTTGTCTTCCTACTAGTGGGAAATTGTCTGCTTTCTCCCTCAAGGGAAAATAATATTTTTTTAATATTTTTTAAAGTACTAACTACTCGATGCCTGTGGACTATGTCATTATAGTGAGCATCCTTCCACAGCTAGTGCCTCTTGATGCTGGCCCATTGGAGATGTAATCTGAGTGGTTCCAAAGCCTTTGGTGTGATAGTAACAATTTCGGTTCTTATCTCTGGTTTGTGCTGTAGAACTCAGCCTCCACAGTCAGTTAAGCCATCCAGTTTGTAACAGGAATTGTGCCTGTGACCAAAAGTTGGTGCACTAGCAAGAAACATGTGTCCTGGCATAACAGTTGTCATCAAGAACATCTGTTATGATATGGAAATTATGTAGTTGTAAAACCTGAACAGTGAGATGAAAAGCCATGGTATAAATGAATGCAGTAGACATCATGGACTTGATAATGGTAAACTTGATTTGGTAAGTTAAATTGTCAGATTATTGAGATAATTGTTTTTCGTCTATCTAAATATATATTACTATGCTTTGAAGTAATCTGTCTTCTTTCACATAGGCTTATTATTGTTTAGGTGCAGTATAGTCTCTGTATATGAGAGTTTCAACAAACTAATGAGTCAAGGGATTAACACAGCTTTTACTTCCCTCATGTAAAAAGATGTATTTAGCTGTTTGTGAGTTCTTGTAAATTGAATGTTGATTATCATTCCAAATTTCAAAAACAATATCTTATGTATAATTTTATTTATCCCTTCTTACACATCTTTTATAAAGATCCAATTGTAGATATTTTCTGCTACAAAATAAAACTTTTCACTTTGGTTTCAAGACCTTAAATAGTGTGAATACTGACATTGTAAACTAACGAGGCCATTTATAGCTCCCATCCATCCTTAGAGTCTTTATATGGACCAAAAGCCCAGCTTTGGCATCTGCAATGCCAGCTTCCCAGGTGGGTACCAGTCCATGTCCCATCTGCTCAACTCCAGTGAAGCTTCCTGCTAATGGCCTGGGAAAACAAAAGATGACCCAAGTGCCTGGGGCCCTACACCCAAATGGGGGACCCAGAAGAAACTGCTGGCTTCGGCATGACTCAGCCTTGGCCAATGTGGCCATGTGGGGAGTGAACCACCAGATTGAAGATCTCCGTTTCTACCCCTCTCTTTGTAGCTCTCTAACTTTCAAATAATTAAAATCTTAAAAAAAAAAAAATCTTGGGCAGCAGCATTGTGGTTTGGTGGGTTAAGCCTCTGTAATGCTGGCATCCCATATGAGTGCTCCTTTGAGTCTCTGCTGTTGCAGTTCCAATCTGGCTCCCTGCTAATGGCCTGGGAGGCAGCAGAAAATGGCCCAAGTGTTTAGACTCCTGCCACCCACGTGAAAGACTTGGAGGGAATTCCATGTTCCTGACTTCAGCTTGACCAGCCCTGGCCATTGCAGCTATTTAGAGGGTGAATCATCAGGTGGAAGTCCATCTTTCCCTTCCTGTTTCACTCTGCCTTTCAGATAAATCTTTATTTTAAAAAAATCTTACATTAACTGTACTTGCCAGTCCAGCTTCTCTATTTCTCTAGGGTCACTCACTTTCTGCAAGGAAGCTCTCATTAAATCATGTGAAAATGTAAGTCCTGAGCTAGTCAGGAAAAACAGATTGTCAGCATGTGCATGTGCCCTGTTAACTCCTCCACCTGCCAGTGCTACCAGTATTTTATTGAAGGAAAAGCCATATAGGGGCTAGCTCTGTGGCAGAGTAGGCTAAGCCTCTGCCTGAAGTGCTGGCAACCCATATGGGCACCAGTTCATGTCCTAGCTGCTTTACTTCTGATCCAGCTCTCTGCTTATGGCCTGGGAAAGCAGCAGAAGATGGCCCAAGTCCTTGAGCTCTTGCACCTTGTAAGACCTGGAAGAAGCTCCTGACTTCTGGCTTCAAATCCACCCAGCTCTGGCTGTTGCAGCTGTTTGAGGAGTGAACAAGCAGATGGAAGACCTCTCTGTCTCTCCCTCTCTGTAACTCTACCTCTGAAATAAATAAAAATCTTGGAAGAAAGAAAGAGAGAGAGAGGGAGGGAGAGAGGGAAGGAGGGAGGAAGAGAGAGAGAGAGAAGGGATAGAGGGAGGGAGGGGCCCAAATAAATAAATAAATAAGGACCTGGGTGCAAATGTTATTACAAAGTACATTTTATATGTAAACTATGACTTGAAGGATTCTGTTTGTTCATTGGAATTTTTCATTTCTGTGACAGTTTGCAAACATCTCCAGTGCTTACCAAAATCCCAAGCATGGCTGTAAGTCCACCCTTTTTGTCTACTCAGCACCTGTGCTTTCACAAAATCATATTTGGAAGTTCGGAGAGGATGAGGTTATCTTCTTTAAGGTCATTCTCTGCTCGTCTGTCTTCTGATCACCCTATAAATAAGGAAACTTCTGGGTATTTGCATGTAACTCCTTTGGGGAAAAAACTATGTCCTCTGATATACTCTTTGAATTGCAATTTTTTTTAAGGAGAGTTTTATAAAGAATGACTTGGGAATTCTGTGAAAGCTGTTCCATATTTAAAAGCTGGATTAAAATTGGGAAGCACTTTGTGTTGTTTTTAAAAAGATTTACTTATTTTCATTTGAAAGAGTTAAAGAGAGAGAGAGAGACATCTTCCATCAGCTGGTTCATTCCCCAAATGGCTGCAATAGCCAGGGCTGGGCCAAGCCAAAGCCAGGAGCCTGGAACTCCATCTGGGTCTCCCACGTGGGTGGTGGGGGCCCAAGTACTTGGACCATCTTCCACTGCTTTTCAGGAGAATTAGCAGGGAGCTGGATCAGAAGTAAAGCAGCTGGGACTTGAACCAGGCACTCATCTGGGATGCCGGCATCACAGGTGGCAGCCCAGCTCACTGTACAACAACACAGGCCCTGTAGGGAGGCGTGGTACCTATTGCGATCAAATAACATTCCTCCTTAGGTTCCCTGATCTAATAGTACCCAAAATTATTGTCTAATAAAATGAGTAAATACCGATAGAAAATGATTGTTAAAGATTTTATTATTTATTTGAAAGGCAGAGTTACAGAGACAGAGGGGGACAGAGAGAGAGAGAGGTCTTCATCCACTGGTTCACTACCCAAATGGCCGCAGCAGCCAGGGCTGTGCCAGGCCAAAATCAGGGGCTGCTGCTATGTCTCCCACATGGGTGCAGGGGCCCAAGCACTTGGGCCATTTTTTTTTTTTTTTTTTGACAGGTAGAGTGGATAGTGAGAGAGAGAGAGAGAGAGAGAGAAAGGTCTTCCTTTGCCGTTGGTTCACCCTCCAATGGCCGCCATGGCTGGCGCGCTGCGGCCGGCGCACCACGCTCATCCGATGGCAGGAGCCAGGTACTTATCCTGGTCTCCCATGTGGTGCAGGGCCCAAGTACTTGGGCCATCCTCCACTGCACTCCCGGGCCACAGCAGAGAGCTGTTGGGCCATCTTCTGATGCTTTCCCAGGCTCATGAGAAGAAACTGGATTGGAAATGGAGCAACCAGGATTTGAACTGGTGCCCAAATGGGATGCCTGCATTTCAGGCAGCAGTTTAACCCACTACGCCACATCATTGGACCTGAAAATTACATTCGCAAGATGTGTCTTTGTGCTACACTAGGTAGAATTTTATTATTATGACTCACTGTTGATGATTAACTCTTGGCTCAATGTTTCTCCTCTGATCTTGTGATGTACATGGTAACTTTAGCCAGTCAGTTGAAGGCCTTAGGAGAAAAATCTGGGGTTTTCCAAAGAAGGGTTTCTGCCCAACACTATAATACATTAATTCTGTTTGAGTTTCTAGCTTGCTGGCCTATGCCACAGACTTTGAACTCATCTCCTACCTATATTTCCAACCTACTGGCCAGCTTTACAAATTTCAGGCTTGCCAGTCTTCACAAGCCTGGAGCCTTCCTTAAAATAAAATTGAGCTAGATAGATGAGATAGTTTGTCTTGCCTGGGCAGCTCTGGCCCAGAGTCTAATAAAATTATGAGCACATCAGCTGAGACAGCAGTCATCTATAAGGCTGGAAGATCAGCCCCAAGGTGGTTCGTTCACAAAACTGGCAAGTTGGCACTTCATGTTGATGGGAGCCTCTGTCTTCTTAGTGACATCGTCACAGAACTGCTTGAGTTCCTCGTGGCGTGTAGGCTGGTTTCCCCAAAAGCTAATGGTGCAGGAAACCAAGCAGAGATACACAGTCTTCTCCGTGGTACTCCAATTGAGCTGTGCAGTCCATTGCTTTGATTCATTGTGGGAGGAGACATGAAAACAGAGGTCATCCACACAAAGGCAGGGTTAAGAGTCAAAGGATGAGGGGGCTGTCATTGTGGCACAGCAGGTTAAGCCACCACCTGAGACGCCAGCATCCCAGATGGGTGCAGGTTCAAGTCCTGGCTGCTCCACTTCTAATCCAGGTCCCTGTTAATAGGTTTGGGAAACCAAAGGGTGATGGACCAAAGTACTTGGGCACCTTCCACTCACGTGGGAGATGCTAACAAAGTTCCTGGATCCTGGCTTCAGCCCAGCCTAGACCCAACTGTTGTGGCAATTTGGGAAATAAACCAGCAGATATAGTATCAATCTCTTTCTCTTTCTCCCTCACCACCCCAAGTTTGCCTTTCAAAGAAATAAAATCTTTAAATAATAATAATAAAAAAGACTCAAAGAATAAGGCCAAGGGCCAGCGCTGCAGCTCAATAGGCTAATCCTCCACCTAGCGGTGCCGGCACACCAGGTTCTAGTCCCAGTCGGGGTGCCGGATTCTTTCCCGGTTGCCCCTCTTTCCAGGCCAGCTCTCTGCTGTGGCCCGGGAAGGCAGTGGAGGATGGCCCAAGTGCTTGGGCCCTGCACCCCATGGGAGACCAGGAGAAGCACCTGGCTCCTGCCTTCGGATCAGCGCGGTGCGCTGGCCGCAGTGCGCCAGCCGTGGCGTCCATTGGAGGGTGAACCAATGGCAAAGGAAGACCTTTCTCTCTGTCTCTCTCACTGTCCACTCTGCCTGTCAAAAAAAAAAAAAAAAGGCCAAGGATGAAGGGTCTTGAAAACCAAGTAGAACTCAGATGCACTGAGAACTGTGTGCAGTGTGTGGTGTGCAGTGCATGCAGTGTTGTGCAGTCTCTGCAGTGTTGCCATGGGTGCAGTGCCTGCAGTGTGCAGCATGTGCAGTGCACACACTGTGTGTAGTGTGTGCAGAGTAGCAGTATGTGGTGCTTGCAGTGTGCAGTGCATGCAGTGTAGTGTGCAGTGTGCAATGCATGCAGTGTAGTGTGCAGTGTTTCCAATGGGGCACTGTTGCCATGGATGCAGTGGGTGCACTGCACAGACCACACACACCACACACTGCACACACTGCACGATGCACACTGCATGCAGCACACACTACACATTACACACTGCACACTACACACTGCACTGCACACTGTATGGACTGCACACTTCAACACTGCTCACACTACATGCACTGTGCACACTGCACACATTACACACTGCAACACTGCACACATGGCACAATGCACATTGTACACACTGCACACGCTGCTCCTTCCTCTGAAAGTCAGAAAATTGGTAACTTTTCCCATATTTTTTGTGTTGGTTTCTGAAGTGGTATTCAGTCTTCTAGGGCTGCCAACACAAAATAACACAGACTAGATTGCTTCAACAGCAGAAATTTACTTGTCACTGTGTCAGGAGCTAGCAGTCCAAGATGAAGGTGTCAGAAGAGTTTACTTCTTCTGAGGCCTCTTTTCTGGACTTGGAGATGGCTCTGTTCTCACATCTGACATCCTTTTTCTGTGTATTCTGCACCTCTGTTTCTTCTTGTAAAGAAAGCAATCAGATTAATTACCCTCCCACCATACAAGTTCCTGAACCTTAATTATATCTTTAAAGGCCCTATTTTAGGACGGCGCCGCAGCTCACTAGACTAATCCTCCACCTTGCGGCACCGGCACACCGGGTTCTAGTCCCGGTCGGGGCGCCGGATTCTGTCCCAGTTGCCCCTCTTCCAGGCCAGCTCTCTGCTGTGGCCAGGGAGTGCAGTGGAGGATGGCCCAAGTGCTTGGGCCCTGCACCCCATGGGAGACCAGGATAGTACCTGTTCCTGCCATCAGATCAGTGCAGTGCGCCGGCCACAGCGGCCATTGGAGGGTGAACCAACGGCAAAGGAAGACCTTTCTCTCTCTCTTTCTCTCTCTCTCTCTCTCTCACTGCCCACTCTGCCTATCAAAAAAAATAAAATAAAATAAAGGCCCTATCTCTAAAAGGCCACATTCTGAGGTACCATTTTTTTTGACAGGCAGAGTTAGACAGTGAGAGAGAGACAGAAAGAAAGGTCTTCCTTCCGTTGGTTCACCCCTCAAATGGCCGCTACGGTGCTTCCTCCTGGTCTCCCATGGGGTGCAGGGCCCAAGCACTCAGGCCATCCTCCACTGCCTTCCTGGGCCACAGCAGAGAGCTGGACTGGAAGAGAAGCAACCAGGACAGAATCCGGCACCCCAACCAGGACTAGAACCCGGGGTGCCGGTGCCGCAGACAGAGGATTAGCCAAGTGAGCCGCAGCACCAGCCGGTACTAATCTTTATATTTTTCTAATGTTTACTTTTATCACTTGAAAGGCAAAGTGACAGAGAGAAAGATTTTCCATCCGTTGGTACACTCCTTAAATACCCAAAACAGCCAGGGCTGGGCCAGGCCGAAGCCAGGGGGCTTTAACGCCATCCTGGTCTCCCACATGAGTGACACAGCCCAAGTACTTGGGCTATCTGCTGCCACCCAGGATGCATTAGCAGGAAGCTGGATTGAAAGCAGAGGAGCTGGAACTGAAACCAGTGTTCTGACATGTGATGTGGTCATTCCAAGCAGCAGACAACTTGATCCGCTGCACCACAGTGCCCACTTGTGGAGTTTAGAAATCAAAAATGTATTTGTGGGATGCAATTCAGTCCATAACAGATGGACTGTCTGCACCACAGAATTAAAACCTTGTCTTGTCTTCTCAGTATAACAGTCTCAATTGTAGCAAGAAAAGATAGCACACTCAAAAGGAAGCAATAGAATAGAGTTGAATAAAGGGACTATTAAATAAATGGGGTTAAGCAAACCAACGAAGGGTAATTAAAAACCCTGAGCAACAGCAAGGAGCAATGATAAACCATTACTAATTCCAGAACTAAGGGTGGAAGTGGGGGGACTGTTGTTGACACCTGGCAATAGCAGTTAATGGTGGAAAAGGTACACCAACATGCACTGGTCTTAGGGAGGAGGACACAACTCGAGAGCAGGGAGGAAGCCAGGTGCTTTCCCTGGGACTTGCCGCTGATAAAATCAGCCAGCAGCCAGGGCACATAACAAGGCAGAGAAGAGTAGAAGGCAGATCAGGTAGGGCAGTCC